AGATACCTCTTCTCTTGTAAATTTACATTCCAGTTAACTAAGCAGTTCAATGGTTTATGAAAAGAAAATCAATATATAACTTGGATTTTATCATACTACAACCTATAAAAGCAATGAATAAATACATAAGCAACAACCTAAATGTCTATTAATAGATGGTAAGACAAATTATAGGGCATATCCACTCAAAGGAATTTTGCGTGGTTAATAAGTAGAATCTTGTAGGAGAAGAGCCAATTATTTGGAAGACATTTACAATGCATTTTAAGTGAATAAAGAATGTTTCAAAAGAATATTTAAATATAATTAAATTCTTAAATATTTATATTTATTAATATAATGTTTTCATATTAATAAATGCTAATTGTAGCTATGTCTGGGTAGAGAGAGTGGTCTAGAGGTGAAGAAAGAGAGGTTCAGCAGTTTAAATGCTTTTTGAAAATTGTTATTATAATTATTATTATTTTTGTAGAGACAGGGTCTCGCCATGTTGCCCAGGTTGGTCTTGAACACTTGGACTAGAGCTATCCTCCTGCCTCAGCCTCCCAAAGTGCTGGGATTACAGGCATGAGCCACTGTGCCCAGCCTTCAATGATTTTTTAAAATTCACATGGTGAGAAAACAGGACTAGGTTTCAAACCTGAATAGAAACACACCAAATTCCTTCACCCAGGCTCTTTTTACCATGTTACCACTTATATAATCTGAATAAGGTTGTATTAACCAGTGATTCCATAGTGGGTTTAGATAAATCATTTAATTTTATGTAACCAAAAGAACATTCTAAAAAAAAACTAAGCATTTTATCCTCTTCGTTTTAAATTTCATAAAAGAGGATTTATGTTTACATTTTCTCCTATCAACATTTCAACAATTGAGTTACACAGTTAAAAACAGATTTGGGCCAGGCACAGCGGCTCACACCTGTAATCCCAGTACTTTGACAGGCCGAGGTGGGCAGATCACTTGTGGTCAGGAGTTCGAGACAACCCTGGCCAACATGATGAAACCTCGTCTCAACTAAAAACACAAAAAATTAGCCGAGTGTGTTGGTGGGTGTCTGTAGTCCCAGCTACTCAGGAGGCCGAGGCCAGAGAATTGCTTGAACTAGGGAGGTGGATATTGCAGTGAGCCAAGATTGAACCACTGCACTGCAGCCTGGGTGACAAGTGAAATTGTGTCTCAACAACAACAAAACAGATTTGATCCTAAAGATCAACTGACTTCAGAGTCGATCCACTCCTGTTAAATTTCTCTCACGGAGTCGCCACCATTTCTTGTCATTCCCTGCTGTCTCCAGTGCACAGTTAGCAGCTCAGTGCACTAGCATCCATACACCAGGACAGAGGGGATGGGACGGGCAAGGAGGCATCATCTTTTTTCTATTGATTCTTTTAAAGCTTCTATAGATAATTGTCTTCATTAGGAGAGGGTGAAAATATTTCCCAACAGAGATTAGATTAGGTGAACCCCTGGGCGTTCAACATTAATACTCCCTAATATTCATTTTCACTTTACGACTTTTGTAGCCCAGAGTCAGGCTGATGTAATTTCCACTTCACACAAAGTAAAGACAGGAGGTGAGTCACATATGGTTGGCATTGATTATGAATCTTGATTGAAGGTGTGGCTAATCAGTCATCCTACCCTGTTTTCCCTTGTTTCCTATCTGTCCCTCTTTAATGTCTGTGGAGCAGACAGATGTTATGGTTTTTCTTATCATCTTTTCTTATCTTATTTTTGAGACAGAGTTTCATTTTGGTGCCCAGCATGGAGTGCAATGGTGCGATCTTGGCTCACTGTAAACTCTGCTTCCAGGGTTCAAGCAATTCTCCTGCCTCAGCCTCCTGCGTAGCTGGGATTACAGGCATGCACCATCACACCTGGCTCATTTTTGTATTTTTAGTAGAGATGGGGTTTCACTATGTTGGCCAGGCTGGTCTAGAACTCCTGATCTCAGGTGATCCACTGGCCTTGGCCTCCCAAAGAGCTGGGATGACAAGTGTGAGCCACCTCACCCAGCAGATGCTACGATATTTTAATGGTTGAAAAAGTGGTGTCAGATTTGATGATGGTGATGAAGAAAATAATTTTCATAATTCTTAAAGCATATGAACTTTAATGAAAGAGAATAAAGTCAACTTAATAAGAATAACATTTAAAGGTATGAAAGGACAGAGTAACCCTTGAAAGACCAACCTTAAGAGACTTCTCTGACAGCAAGAAAAATAAAGAAATAAGAGAGTAAACAACAAGAAATGAAAAGGAGCTTTCTTGAGACAGCAAACCACAATGTGGGCATTACACAAATGTGAGTTCTTTTTATCCTACCCATTTTAGGATTAATGAAAAGAATGAGAGTAATCTATAAAGAGTAATGGATTTAAAGTAAAAAAAAAAAAAAGCTTGCTTCCAGTTCCGGCTGTAACACTCAACAGCTGAGACACGGCAAAGGTGAGCTTATCTCACCATTTCCCCATTTTTCTGTCTGTGAAAAGGAGGTGACACCTGCCTGACCACCTCCCGGGATTGTTGTGCATGTGAACGATGACCAAAACAACAACAAAACACACAAAAAGGAAGCCATATTTTTTGGACGAGTGAAAGTGCAATGCAATCCTCAGATGTTTATTATAATTTTTCTCTAAAGTGCCAGTATGTGTTTATGAGTCTGGGTAACTAACAAAACCTCCCTGGAATGGCTGACTAGCAAAATATTTTTGTCTCTGGGGTGAAACAAAAACAATGCCATTTTTCTAACCTCGGTTATAAAAACCCTAGTCTGGAACATGTAAATCAACTTACTAAAATAGGCACGAATTGGAAATGGATTCCGACTGGGGAGGAGGGTGTCATCAGGTGTCAAGATTTATTTATTTTTTGTCAGTTGTGAGAATGTCAAAGAGCAGGGTGGATCCGTGGAAATAGCATCAGGGAACAAAATACATTTGGAGTCAGTCCCGGCTCCTTCACTAACTATGTGCCTCTGAAAAAATTATGCACCTCCTTTGACTTTTCAAATTTTTTACCTATAAAATGGGCAAAATAATGGGCATAATAATACCTACCTTACAGAGTCAGCATATGGATTAAATTAAATTAGATAATACTATAAGTGCCCAGTGCAGAGCCCGGTACATGGCAGATACTCAAAGAATGTGAGTTGTTGACTCATTTTCCCACATTATTTTCCTAGACTACATACTTGTTTAGGAAATTTAAGAAATTCCATTTATTTCTTGGATACTGTTGACCATGTAGCCTCCGTGTATGTACCAGAGCAACCTGTGTAGAAGATTCCTTTAAAATCTTTACATAAATTCTGTCTTTACTCCATTAAGTCTATCTGATTATGATAAAAATCACTCATTCTTTATCTTATGTTAAATCATTGTATTGAACCTATAAAGATGCCTCATAAAATTTAGGATGTGAAGACCTAAGATGCTTGATACAGCTGCTGATCCTTAAGTTATAAAACATGGAACATTAAACCATGGGGAAATTCAGAGACCCTTTCTAATTTCCTTACTCCATTTATTCAGAATAACACCCAAATAAAGGTACTAAATAACAAAGATCACATTTTATTTTTCTGGATGGAAAAGGATTCACACTAAACAACAGTGTCTGAAAATCTGAAAATTATTATTGTGGCGTGTGTGTGTGTGTGTGTGTATGGAAGGTACTTGTTTTCCTTCAATAATTCCATTTTTTTTTTAACCTCTCTTTAAGAAGGTGGTTGCTCTTTTTGGTCTACTGAAATTCTACAAATCCAGTTAAATATTACTTCCGGGAATTCTCAGATTACATACTGGCCCTCCCTCATCACCCTAACACCCAATAGAAATTGTTTTTTTTTTTTCCCTTGTACATCCTAACATTTTGTTTATACCACTGGGTACTGTTGCAATCAAGCTTTACCCTGGATGTCCAACCTTTTGGCTTTCCTAGGCCACATTGCAAGAAGAATTATCTTGGACCACACATAACATATACTGACACTAATGATAGCTGATAATCTTAAAAAAAAGGTCTGTGCGTAATTTTTATAATATCCACCACCACAGATAAGCAAAAAAGTCCTTGCATTCAAAGGGTTGGACATGGCTGCCAGTCTATGCTTTCTACATGGTCCCAAGACATAGCCCATGTTTTAGAATAGAGGTGGCATTTGTGTGAATTTTGAGTGAAGGTGTGGATGAGCAGTCCTCCCTTCCCTTTATTTCCTATTGGTTGTTTCTTAAAGTTTGCAGTGTGAGACCATATGGTGCTATTTTAAGAGTCTGACAAGTGGGTTAGAAATGACGTTGGAAGAAAGACAACCATTTGACTTCCCCTTTCCCTCTTCCCCAGCTTACATCACTATTTTAAATTATATCACAGAAATTTCCATTAGAATTTCAAGACCACACATTCTGTCAGCATTATGTTTGAAAAGGATTAATTTGAAATGCTTCTTAAACAATACACAGAGTACCTTACAATATCTGATAGTCACTTTCTCCAGCAAAATCTTGGAGAATTTTTTGACATTGTCCTTATTACCCCACGGTGTCTTATGAGGCATGCTTCAGAAAATTCTATATTAAAGAACAGAGGTTCCAATAGTGCCAACCAAAATTTCGTATACAATGTGATTAATTCCTGGAGTCTGTCATTCTCCATCCCTTTAATAGATGCAATCCCATTGAATATTCATAGGAATAGATAGTGTTCACAGGAATATATACTGTTCTTTCAAATACTCTGTGTACTGTTGCAATGATAATTCACAAATAGAACTGAATAACATTCCCACCACAAGGATCCTTGAAGGAAACTGAAAACAAAAGCCATATCTTTGTTGAATCCAGTTGGCTCACATTTCCACACACATAACTCCACTGAACTGGCCATCACAGCAAAAGCCACAACACACACATACAGCAGCATGGAGCTAACCACACAGCTCAACAGACAATGCAGACAAACTTGAGTATAAACCAAGATTTTTCTACCTCTTTTCATAACAGGTTAGTGCTGGCCCTCAGTGTTGGTGTACAGTTTTTATGGCATGGGAAAATAGGGATGTTTCTGCCCTATAAAAATAAATGTGTTGAAGGCTTTAGTTTAAGCTTACACAATGTCAGAAAGTTCCAAAGGTACTGGCACAATACAAAAAAAAAAGAATCTTACAAACAAATATATATCATCAGAACACTTGGCAAGATACTGAGAAAACACAGGTAGAGAAAACTACTGTTTTCTCGGGTGATTTATGCAAAGTTTTCAGCACCTTCCTGAAAAATAAGGAATAAGAAAGGCAGGCTAGTGGGTCTTTGGTGGGGCATATCTTTTCACCAACCACCACTCATATAAAATCTTTAACTTTAAACTGCTCAGTAGATCATTTTTTCTCTGCAGAAGGAAAAAGCACACAACTCTCACTGTTCTTAATCTTTTAAGTCTCAGGAAGGGCTAAGGGAAAGAGCATAGAAATGCATGCACTATTTTTCATAAAGAAAGGAATATAAGGAATAAAAATAAAAATAGAAAGAATAATTATTATTCCTTCCTTTTATATATCATAATATAAACTTCCTTCCAAACTTCAGTTCTGTACAGATACTTGTTCTCATATAACATCTTTTTCTACTCTGGAAAGGGATGGGACAGAAAGTTAAGCAGGAAACAGGAAGTTCTGAATTTGAATAAAAGAAACACTTTTGCTGTTATCAAGAAATCAAGGTGGGCATCAGGGCTAGAAATAGGGAAATTGAAAAAATTTCATTGGACTTAATGATTCATAATTCCTCAAAAAAATAAAACTTACCACATTCTGTGCAAATTTTTCAAAAGATGTTCTGCGATCCATAGAGTTTCCAGACTTAACGTATGTGGGGTAGGATAGGGTGAAGGGAAATAAGGGAAGGTTGAAAACAAAAAAAGAAAGCAAGGAAAACGGCAGAAAAAGACAGGATAATGAAATGATGCAACACCAAATCCATGTTCTAAATCAGAGTGCCCACGGAGGTGGGAGAGCCGCCAAGGGAGACTTCTTCTCAAAGGACATGGGGCTCTGCTTTCATTAGTGCTAACACCAGATACTTTCCTTGTACAAACGAAATGGAGTGATTCAAGCAAAATCAAATTAAGCCGAAATGAAGTAAATATGTGAAGCCTTTATAGTGACATTTGCAAAGCCTAAATACTTAAAAGTCTGGCAGCATATCCTCAGAGTATCCTCAAAACTTTTATCAGAAAAAAATTTCTGTTGACAACATAATTCTATAGAGCATTAATGTCTAATAGAACTTTCCAAAAGGATGGAAATTTCATTCTATGCTGTCCAATACAGAAGCTTCTAGCTGTGGTTATTGAGCACTTGAAATTTGGCTGGAACTTTATATAATTTTAATTAACTAAGATGTAAGCAGTCTCATGTGGCTAGTGACTGCTGTAGTGAATGGTGTTACTACAAAGCATCCATTTCCAGTTGTAAAGGCTTTTAAAAATCTTACTAGCCTACATGATAATCATGAATTACACAAAATTACAATTTAAACTCAGAATTTCAAGAAGGTATGAACGATTTTAAGATAAAAAATAATGATGTTGATACTGATGTCCAGATTTTCTCTTCCCTGTTATATTGACTACCTAAGGAGTTATGAACAAGAGAGACATTGATTATTAACATTATTGAATAATGAGGTCTACTACAATGCTCCTATAATCTGCTTGCCTACCATTCTAGGTGTTTAAAATTCATCTCAGGGATATTAAGTGATTCAGGATAAATGCCAAATGAAAATATTCAGAAGCAAACATTCCTATATTTTGTCATCTATTATTGAAAAAGGTGAGTCTACTTTCAGTTATGAGGTCTGTGGTTCAAAACATACCTTCTAGCTTACTAAACAAAGAAACCCCTCTTCAAGTTTTCGACCTAATGACATTGTTACTTTCTTTTTTTTTTTTTTGTAATTTTGATTCCATGAAACTAGGCATACAGAAGACTAACATGAAACATGAAAACAAGCTTCTAATAAATTTTGCAAAGCATGAACACCTGCAGAAACAAACAAACAGAAAGTAATACAGTAAACAATAAACCAACAAAAACAAAAACAACTTAAATAGCCCTTATAAAATGCAAAGGTTTGGGGGAGGGTCTTGGAGTATGTTCACTTACCATTAGTCCAATACTCTGGATTCAGCAGAGGTAATTACTCCAAATAATTATAACTGAGAACTAGGTCAAGAGAAAACAACTCACAAAAAAACAATACCTTTTTCTTTGCCTGTAGAAGCTCCTGATAGGCACTGGATCTTATAAAACGTGGGTATGAATCACTTTTCATCAGTTTGTAAATGTGCTCCTAAAAAGAAATAATGGTTGAGGTGCTTCTTTAGTATTTCTTGGGAAAAGTAATAATAGAGACCAAATCTAGTAGCAGCTAAAAACAGTAACAGTAATAACAATGCTGGTTAGAATACCTTCTGTTTACAGGACATTTAGATCTTCAAATTCATTATCTCATTCATGGATCATTGTTTAAATTGGTTTAGGAGCTACTGAGGAATGAAATCACATCCGGTCATTAAAAAAAAGGAATTTGGTTAACAAGATGTTGTAAAATAACTTCAGATCAAGTTACTGACTTATATAGATCACTAGAGAATATAACTAAATTCACTGTCTCTTAAAATTACTCTAGGCCTGAAGTGGGTAATGTGAAGTCAGACTGAGTAATCATCCCGGATGCCTTTGGCCTCTATATTTACTGGGAGGGTGCCAACTGCCCAGATGAATCAAATCATCTCTTTGGTACAAAATTGCATGGAAAATTGTCTTCCACACCCACTTTGGGTCAGAGCACAAGTCCCAAAATAAATTTTGTGACATTTAATTGCTAAATCTCCAAATTTGTGTGCTCTTTTTTTATTACTTATTCAGTGACAGCTTAGGTAAATATTGGATCATTCACCCCTAAGAAGTTTGCAAAATTCTGTTTTGATAATGAATTTTGGTAGATAAAGAAGTCAAAGAAAGAAAAAAGGTACTCATTCAATCCAATCTTGACCCAATCTAGGGAGATTCTACCCTTGTCTACTGAAGCTCAGGAAGCTTACATGTGCCTTGATCTTCCTAGCCTAGTGAAATATCAGTTAGGTGTAGAGCTTCAAACTATTGGAGAGTATTCTGGATGTCCCAATTTTTTTTGTTGTTGTTGCTTGAAGAAAATATATATATATATATTTTTTTGAGACAAAGTCTTCTTCTGCTGCCAGCCTGGAGTGTAGTGGCATGATCTTGGCTCATTGCAACCTCCAGCTCCCAGGTTCGAGCAATTCTCCTGCTTAAGCTTCCTGAGTAGCTGGGATTACAGGCACTGGCCAGCATGCCTGGCTAATTTTTGTATTTTTAGTAGAGACAGGGGCTTCACCATGTTGGCCTGCCTGGTCTCGAACACCTGACCCCAGGTGATCCACCTGCTTCAGCCTCCCAAAGTACTGGGATTACAGGCGTGAGCCACTGCTCCTGGCCCTAGAAAATATGTTTTAAAAAATGACTCCAGTTCTCTGGTCTTAAACATAACAGCAATCATTTGAAGTTACTCTAAATCTATTTAAAGACATTCAGGATTAAGTCTCAAGACCTAGCCCAAGGGTGAATCTTCAAAAATTTTTTAAGTTTGGAACTATATGGGAATTTGTTTGAAAAGTAGGCAAATGGCTGACTTTGGAGTTAAGCATTCTAAGATTCAGATCCTACCTTGCTCAAGAACTACCACTTACAAATAGAATACATTTAGGCCAATTTTCATCTCTCTGATCCTTAATTTTCTAATCTAAAAAATAGTATTGTTGTGATGATTAAAGCAATAATAAATGTGTAGCGAAGCATGGGGGTGCATAGCAAGTGCTCAAATATACTTGGGTATACGGCAGGTACTCTTTTTAAGTGCTTTCCGATATTAGGTAATTTAACCCTTACACAGCGTCTATGGGATTGGTAACCATTGCGTCCATTTTACAAGATGAAGAAATTTTGAGGCATGGAGAGGTGGTCGCAGAGCAGAGCTGAAATCAGAACCCAGACAATTTACCTTAAGATAGGATTTCTTTTAAAACCACACACACACACACAAACTAGAATTAAATATCTGAGCTTAACTGAAAAATCTAGGGCCAAGTGGTAATGTTTTCTATAGATAATATTTTTTTTTCTTTAAGAAAAGAGGATCCTATTAGGCAAGAATATTTTTAAATGACGCTGATAACCAAAAAAAAAAAAAAAAAAAAAAAAAAAAAAAGTTCTTTTTTAAATCTCAGGAAGGACATTCCAAACATTTTACACATTGCTGGCTCTACAAAGATGCTTGACATTTTATCTTGGACTGAAGGAAAGAAAAATCAGCAGAGAAGTGAGCAGTAGGGCCAGAATTTCTGGCCTGCTCTCTGTCATGTGTCTCTCCAGAGTGTAATTATTTCTACATCGGAGACCACGGCTGAACCACATGTGATAGGTATCCAGTTAGCTGTTAAAATCCATGTTAGTTTTCTACACAGTTGCTGATTTTTTTTAAATGAAAGTCAAGGGGAAATATATTTTCTACAGAGAGTGGAAATAAGAAAGGATATTTGTGTATCTCACTCTTCGTCATCTGTATTTTATTTTAGTAATGTGTGTGTGTGTTTTTTAAAGGTACTTTTTATAATTAATATTCTTCTCCAAAAGAAGTTTAAGAAATTATAAAGTATGCAGGTTCTGATTTAAAAACCAACTTCGACACATCATTAGGGAGAGGGTACAGTGACTCATGCCTGCAATTCCAACACTTTGAGAGGCTAAGGTGGGAGGACTGCTTGAGCCCAGCAGCTGGAGACCAGCCTGGGCAACATAGGGAGACCCACCTTGTCTCTACAAAACATATAAAAAAATTAGCCAGGCATGGTGGTGCATGCCTGTGGTCCCAGCTACTTGGGAGACTGAGGTGGGAGGATTGTTTTAGCCTGGGAGGTCGTGGCTACAGTGAGCCATGATCATGCCACTATACTGCAGCCTGGGTAACAAAGAGAGACCCTGTTTCCAAAAATAAAATAAAATATATATTTAAAAAACCACATTATTAGGAAACACTATCCCCTCATTACAAGTTTATTTTTCTTCTTGAGTATCAATATTTTTTGAGAGAAAGCAGAAATTCAAGTTGTTTCTACAGAGGGAATTAAGATCCAGTTTGAGAAAAGATTACTAAAACTTTGTCTTAGGGAGTTAGAATCAGTTTTCTTTTTTCTCTTTCTGTAGGCTAAAAAATTAACTTGAAAAGTTGATAAACATCAGAATTTACTATTTGATTTTTTCACCACAGACAAAACTGGATTGAGTTTGACAAAAGTTTAAACTAATACAGTGTGAATAATTTATAATAATGAATAATTAGGAATGTCAGAGTCTTAGGATCTCTATATTGAAGATGCCTTAAAGATGATAAATCTTTAAAAAAATATTAAAATTTTTTTTACTTAGATGGGGTCATCATTAGATAGTTTGCTCACTTATTGGGGGACAGAGTAGAAAATGAGGTAAAAGTTTTCAAATATTTCATATATGCCCCTTCACATAAAAATATTCAAACTTAGAAAATATTCCCAGGCTTGGCTGGGTACAGTGGCTCACACCTGCAATCCCAGCACTTTGGGAGGCCGAGGTGGGCAGATTACGAGGTCCAGAGATCGAGATCATCCTGGCCAACATGGTGAAAGCCAGTCTCTACTAAAAATACAAAAATTAGCTGGACATGGTGGCCCATACCTGTAATCCCAGCTACTCGGGAGGCTGAGGCAAGAGAATCGTTTGAATCCAGGAGGCGGAGGTTGCAGTGAGCAGAGATCGTGCCACTGCACTCCAGCCTGGTGACACAGTGAGACTCTGTCTCAAAAAAAAGAAAAAGTAAAAGAAAATATTCCCAGGCTTTAAAAACTATTTAAAAAACTATGTCTTTGTTCCTTCCTAGATCAGTGAGAGTTATTTTACAGTTATTTAAATTGAAAATCTTAAGAAACAGCTGCCATTTATAATGAAAATAAAATGAATATATCGAACTATCAACTTCTCAGAAGCACGTTTGTGATGTGAGGCCCACCATGCACCCACCTGAGCATCTTCAAACGTGTATCGTCCAGGTTCCTTCACGTTCTGTGTGGTTTTGTCATAACTCTTCGAATCCAAGTTAATGGCACTGGGGGCTCCCGGAGCCAGAAATTCTTGCCATATTTCCTGAACTCTTGAGGGCACTTCTTTAATAGGCCTTTTTTTCAGGTCCTCCACTGCCAGCCAGAATCTATGCAAAATGTGAGATCAGGTGTTTATTCTGATGGCCCATCAACTGAAGATTCTTGTGACATTTATGGATCATGCAGTTCACAGTGATGACTCCCGGCAAACTCACTTTCTCTGAGGACTTCCAATATCAGGGTGGTACTCACTTATTTTTTTCCCAGTAGTTGTAATCAAAGGTATAATCTTCTTTTGAAGGAATTATTAAAGACGATCTCTTCTAAGTGTTTGTTGTTAAAAGCAGATGTGCCAGAGCCCTGCATAACTTTAATTTTACCTAAGGAAAGTGGCATTGCCACCTGTTGACTGAAAATGAGGAGGAGTATGAAGGGCATTAAAGGTGCGGGGATATGGGCATCCAACCGGGAGGTTACATTGTGTTTTTGGGATCTTCTGTTCATTTGAGCAATGAGGGCTCATATGGAGAGGTTTTTCTGTTCTAGTTGCTAAGGGAGTTACAAAGAAGCTTTGCTGGAGTTAAAAGAGACCTGGACATAGATCAGAAAATGCCCTGGCTGGGAAAATAAGAACAATTAATTAATGTCAAGCTAATTTAATTGAGAGAGGTATGGAATGACAGAAGCAGCAAGCTTTCACATGTAATTACTGGAAAAGTTTAAATGTGTAGAGGCATCATTGCAATTCAGAAGCCACTGAATACTATATACGGACTTACTTCTGAATATAAACTTACTGATAGCATATGTAAACTGAAAAAACCTGGGAGTGTGTTTTGGTTGGTAATAGCAAGTGGCAAAGTCTAGTGAGAAGGGGCCACATTGTATTAACGGGTTACATTTCTTCAGTGTTTTGCTCTAGGTTAAAGCTTACTGGTTAGATCTCCAGAAATACTGTTTAAAAGATAAATGGGTACATCATAATTTGTTAATAGAAACAAACACCATATGTGAAAAAGGAACTGCTAGGGCTGTGTTATCTTCCATCAACACTTATCGCTCAATAGTGAAGGAAGACAGCCACAGAGACAGGAAACCTCCAGAGTCTTAGAGACTCCAGAGGCTTAAGGCTCTTAAGACTTAAGGCTCCAGAGTCTTAAGAGAGGCACAGGTAATCAGCAGTATCTTCGCAGCTACTAAGCTTTAACATGAGCATGAATAAATAATCAGAAGTCAGTAACGAAGCACATGAGTTAAAATTAGCATATCAACTACCACTCAGTCTAGTGATTTCTGAGTTTTCATTTCCAGATTTTGTTTTCTTATAGATATGTGTAACAGAGGATAATCTAACTTGGACAATGCCTTAAACAGGAAACTAACACCATAACTTTTAGAAAGGAAGGCTGAAGACCATTACCCCTTAAAACACAGATTTAGACACTGTGCACTCTAATAGGAATCCTATGCGTAATCCAAGGGAGCAGGAGTATTGAAATTAATAAATGCTCTGTCAAGTTCATTCCAGCACACTTTGAACACATAAATCAAAACAAAGTCTCTGTTCCCAAAGAATAAGTAAAGATAAACCATTTAGGCCAGACACAGTGGTGAACGCCTGTAATCCCAGCACTTTGAGAGCCTGAGGTGGACAAGAGGTCAAGAGATCGAGATCATCCTGGCCAACATGATGAAACCCTGACTCTACTGAAAATACACACACAAAAAAAAAAAAAAAAAAGAAAGAAAGAAAAAATTAGCTGGGCATGATGGTGCACACCTGTAATCCCAGGTACTCAGGAGACTGAGGCAGGAGAATTGCTAGAACTCAGGAGGCAGAGGTTGCAATGAGCCAAGATCGTGCTACTGCACTCTACCCTGGTGATAGAGAGAGATTCCATCCCCAACAACCCCCAGAAAAGATAAACCATTTAAATGACCATAATACTAGCAAGCACATGAATGGCTCTCTAGGAAGAGAACAAACTAGACTGTCAGGGAATGCCAAGCGGGAAAAAAGCCTCTCTGCTGGGGCAAGTGCTGGACGGGAAAAGGGGGATCTAGAAAAAGCTATAATAAATCCTGTGACATCTGAAATGGGCCTGTGGGTTAATAACCACACCTACACTGACACGCAGGTGCAGGCACTGCTCAAGGTGATCCACCTCTATTAACTCATTTAATTCCCACAGTAACTATATAAAGCAAGTTCTATTATTTCCCTCATTTAAGAGGAGACTGAGCATATGAAGATTAAACTGCTTATTTAAGTTTGTTCACTATTAGTGTCACAGCTGAGGTTTGCCCCCAGAAAATCTGCAGATGACATGCTCACAGCTCTTGTCATCACTACCCTTCTTACTATCACCATTACTGTAATTATTGTAATAGCTTAATACAATGGAGGAGCTGGGTACAGCGGCATGCACCTGTGGTCCTAGCTACTCAGGAGGCTGAGGTGGGAGGATCACTTGAGTCCAGGAGTTCAAGGCTGCAGTGAGCTATGACAGTGCCACTGAACTGCAGCCTGGGTATCAAAGAAAGATCCCATCTCTCTTAAAAAAAAAAAATCCCATATCCTTTATTTCATCATAGCTGGAACCTAAGAAAGTATTTTTTAATGTCTTTGATTCTTGATTTCCTCATCATTAAAATGGGATGATAGTGCTTATTTCACTGGGTTTCCATTGGATTAATTAGTTTCCATTGGATTAGTTGATTAAATTAATTCCATTAACTTAAACTAATGATATAAATTATATAGAGGGCACTGAAAAGTACCTGGCATATTTTTAGGCACTAAAAGATAAAAATTTATATTACTACATTTTCTTAGCACTTGCTCTATGCTATATGTTTTGCCTGAAAAAAATGAATGTGGGAAATACATTTTAGAATTTCAAAGAGCAGAGGGCGTATCTGAAGCATAAGTAGTTATGGAGAAGCAGTGCTTCCTATTTTTCTCCTGTCCTAACATTTGAAAGAAATGCTCACATGAGTGACACACTCCCACTGCACGGAGAGTTATTTTAAGTGCTATTCACAACCCTGTTGGCCACTGGATTGTTTTGCCTTCTTCAGTGTGTGAAACGAAGCAGAGTAGGGCTCAGATTTGGGGAGCAGGGGACAGCAGCTTGGTACCGGTTTGTAGAAAACCAAGAATGCCACCTACCTGCAATCTGACCTCCTCAGCCATACTTTCTCAGCCATACTTTTCTCATCTAAAAAATGAGGCACTATTTACATTTCATGTTTCTTTTGGTGGTTACATGTGTGATGATCAGAAATAATGAATGCAAAATATAACATTGCATACTTAAAAGTAGTAAATAGAAAATATATTTTGATGTCTTGCAGGTATTCAAGAATTAATCTAATCTACATCTTTCATTTATCTACCTGCCTATACTTCCTAAGGAAACATATGACAGGCATACAGTAGATGCTCAAATATATATATGCATATATTATGTGTGTGTATATATAATGTGTGTATATAGATAAGATGGTACAGCACTGAATGATTAAGATAAGAAACGATTAAAGCTTGAACTAGAAATTGGCAGTAATTCATTTCATGCTTTGAAACCTAGAATCCACATGCTGTTCTCTTTTTCTAAAAGCATCTTCTGTCTCCCTGTGTTACCTGTTTATCTCCTCCCCATTGTGCAGCTCTCAGCCTAGCAGTGATTTCTCTTAGTATCCCTCTGCGGAGCTCTAACTCTGGATTAGGCATCCTCTGTGCTTCTCCCACCTAAACACCCATGATTTTGTGCTGTGATTTGTTTTCTTGTCTGTATCTACCAATTGACTGTAATTTTAATGAGAGAAAGAGATGCTTTTATTTGGCTAGGTGAGGCTGGTAAGGCTTATTACTTGTTTATTTACTCATCATGATACAAATGATGTCAGCATATTTTCAAAAACTTAGAGAATGAGAGGAAAATCCATCTCCCCAACCACTAAAATGCCTAAAGTATTCTTTATCTCTGCTTTATTTTTACTGCATTATTTACTAATTCATTTATTTATTTATTGAGACACAGTTTTGCTCTGTTGCCCAGGCTGGAATGCAGTGGTGGAATCTCCGCTCACTGCAACCTCTACTTCCTGGGTTTAAGTGATTCTCATTCCTCAGCCTCCCCAGTAGCTGGGACTACAGGCATGTGCCACCATGCCCAGTTAAATTTTGTTTTCATTTCTTGTAGAGATGGAGTTTGCCATGTTGGCCAGGCTGGTCTCAAATTCCTGGCCTCAAGAGATCCACCTGCCTTGGCTCCCAAAGTGCTGGGATTATAGGCGTGAGCCCCCATGCCTAGCCTGTTAATGCATTCTTGCACCTGACAATGTGACCTCAATATAGAAAACATTATTAGTAGGCTCAGTAAATAACTTTAGCAACTTTAGCAGCAAGATCTTGCAAAAGCCCAGGCAGGAAAGGTTCCCATAAATTGGAAGGAGAATGGAAGCTGCATGCCAGCAATCCATGCTAGGCACACACGGAGAGTTAAACCCCTCCAGGTTCTGTCTGTGGTCATCTTGCTCCAACCATGCGACAGGTGTCAGCATCCTACATCTTTCTGAATGGTTTGGGATTGCTACCTGTCAAATCCCCTGAAAAGAATGTGACAATGCCTGGCACTACTTAGTTCCAATGAAAATAAATGAATGCTGAGACCTTTCGGCAAATGAAGTTTACAGGACTGCATAAGTCATGGAAAAGTAAAAATTGGGTATCAGGCTTCAAAAGAATAATGAATGAAAGAGCTCATGGGAAAACAGTCTTACATAGTGGAAAGTTGTCACTCACTTCAATGATGTTAAATAGAGCTATTAAAATCCACTCTAATGTCTTATATTTAAAATGCAATTTTCAGATCCTCCTTATGTTAGCTAATTTTAAAAATATATAAGGATGATGTTTACAACAGATGGGCAGAATGGCTGTCCCTGTCTCACGAACAGCTCAATGCTGTGCTGCTTTCAATTGCACTGTGGCTATTATTCAGATGTGCAAAGAGAATGAGACAGCCCAATAGTTTGGTTTCAGCTTATTGGATATAGCTGCCCAGTCTCTTCTCTAACTTGCTTGAGAAGCGATATACAGAGATAAGCAACACTGACAAAGAGGTGATATTTTAATGGAACTTCATAAATGTTACTGGCCAGTCTCCACTTTGCCAAAGATGGTTCTCTGTATTGTATTTCTTTACAGAGTCCATTTCAAAGTCACCAAATTTGTATAGTTAAAACCTCTGGAGACACAGAGACAGTGTAAAAATAAGTTACAAGAAATTGATATGCCGGGCGCGGTGGCTCACGCCTGTAATCCCAGCACTTTGGGAGGCTAAGGCAGGGGGATCACCTGAGGTCAGGAGTTCGAGAGCAGCCTGACCAACATGCTGAAACCCCGTCTCTTAAAAAAAAAAAAAATGATCTGGCCACAATGGCACGTGCCAGTGGTCCCAGGTACTCTGGAGGCTGAGGCGGAAGAATCTCGAGCCAAGGAGTGTCCAGACTGCAGTGAGTGAGCTAGGATGACACCACGGCACTCCAGAAGAATTTAACAGTCTCTCTCTCTCTCCCCCCTACTCCCCCCAACTCCTGTCTTTCATTAAAAAAAAAAAAAAAGAAAGAAAGAAATGGATATGTTGGGCAGCCTTTGCCTTGGTCATCTTTTTTCTCTTCATTAGGTGACAGAATTTCAATGGGTTCATAACATCATTATGTTGGTGGAAGAAGAATTGAGCTGTTACCTTGAAAATAGTCAGACACATCACAGACAGTATTTCCCTGGCTTATATGATCCAAGCAATGTGTCTTACCTTAAATTTTCTGAGCTGAATTCTGACTCTAGAAATTTAAGGAACTGTTCTCTCCCAACTGGGTCTTTCAATGCCTCGTCCATGCCAAAACCCCATCGTTTTACCCTCTGCTGGCTCGGTTCTTTGCTATAGAAGATAAAACAAAGGCAAATACATTGCTTTCATTAGAATTCCCATTTTTTTGTTATTACATTCCCCTTCAAAGTCATGTATGCCTTGAAGTTCCCATCTTTAACTTACCTTCCAAAAAATATCTCTCTGATTAATGGCTCTGAATGAAATCATGGTGTATGTTAGCATTAATAATAAAGTGTAACTTTAAAAATATATATATTTTATTGCACTTTAGGTTCTGGGGTACATGTGAAGAACATGCAGGATTGTTGTATAGGTACATACATAGCAATGTGGTTTGCTGCCTCCATCCCCATCACCTATATTTGGCATTTCTCCCCATGTTATCCCTCCCCAACTCCCAACCCCCCACTGTCCCTCCCCTAGTTCCCCCCAACAGACCTCAGTGTGTGATGCTCCCCTCCCTGTGTCCATGTGTTCTAATTGTTCAACACCCGCCTATGAGTGAGAACGTGCGGTGTTTGATTTTCTGTTCTTGTGTTAGTTTGCTGAGAATGATGGTTTCCAGGTTCATCCATGTCCCTACAAAGGACACAAACTCAGTGTTTTTTTATGGCTGCATAGTATTCCATGGTGTATATATGCCACATTTTCCCTGTCCAGTCTATCATCGATAGGCATTTGGGTTGGTTCCAAGTCTTTGCTATTATAAACAGTGCTGCAGTGAACGTAAGTGTGCATATGTCTTTATAATAGAACGCTTTATAATCCTTTGGACATATACCCAGTAATAGGATTGCTGGGTCAAATGGAATTTCTATTTCTAGCTCCTTGAGGAATTACCACACTGTCTTTCACAGTGATTGAACTAATTTACACTACCACCAACAGTGTAAAAGGGTTCCTATTTCTCCACATCCTTTCCAGCATCTGTTGTCTCCAGATTTTTTAATGATCGCCATTTTAACTGGTGTGAGATGGTATCTCAATGTAGTTTTGATTTGCATTTCTCTAATGACCAGTGATGGTGAGCATTTTTTCATATGTTTGTTGGCCTCATATATGTCTTCTTTTGAAAAGTGTCTGTTCGTATCCTTCACCCACTTTTGAATGGGTTTGTTTTTTTCTTGTAAATCTGTTCTAGTTTTTTGTAAATTCTGGATATAAGTCCTTTGTCAGATGGTTAGATTGCAAAAATTTATTCCCATTCTGTTGGTTGCTGGTTCACTCTAATGATTTTTTCTTTTGCTGTGCAGAAGCTCTGGAGTTTAATTAGGTCCCATTTGTCTATTTTGGCTTTTGTTGCCAATGCTTTTGGCATTTTAGTCATGAAGTCCTCGCCTATGCCTATGTCCTGAATGGTTATGTCTAGGTTTTCTTCTAGAGTTTTTACAGTGTTTAGTCTTATGTTTAAGTCTTTAATCCATCCGGAGTTAATTTTAGTGCATCGTGTCAGGAAGGGGTCCAGTTTCTGCTTTCTGCACATGGCTAGCCAGTTTTCCCAACACCATTTATTAAACAGGGAATCCTTTCCCCATTACTTGTTTTTGTCAGGTTTGTCAAAGATCAGATGGTTGTAGATGTGTGGCTTTGCCTCTGAGGCCTCTGTTCTGTTCCATTGGTCTATATGTCTGTTTTGGTACCAGTACCATGCTGTTTTGATTACTGTAGCCTTGTAGTATAGTTTGAAGTCAGGTAGTGTCATGCCTTTAGCTTTGTTCTTTTTGCTTAGAATTGACTTGACTATGCAGGCTCTCTTTTGGTTCCATATGAAGTTTAAGGTGGTTTTTTCCAGTTCTGTGAAGAGGGTCATAGGTAGCTTGATGGGGATAGCATTGAATCTATAAATTACTTTGGACAGTATGGCCATTTTCACAATATTGATTCTTCCTAACCATAAGCATGGAATGTTTTTCCATCTGTTTGTGTCCTCTCTCATTTCCTTGAGCAGTGGTTTGTAGTTCTCCTTGAAGAGGTCCTCTATATCCTTTGTTAGTTGTATTCCTAGGTATTTTATTCTCTTTGTAGCAATTGTGAATGGCATTTTGTTCCTGATTTGGCTCTCTTTAAGTCTGTTATTCGTGTATAGGAATGCTTGTGATTTTTGCACATTGATTTTGTATCCTGAGACTTTGCTGAAGTTGCTTATGAGTTTCAGGAGATTTTGGGCTGAGACGATGGGGTCTTCTAAATATACAATCATGTCATCTGCAAATAGAGACAATTTGACTTCCTCCTTTCCTAAGTGAATACCCTTTATTTCTTTTTCTTGCCTGATTGCTCTGGCTAGAACTTCCAATACTATATTGAACAGGAGTGGTGAGAGAGGGCATCCTTGCCTAGTGCCAGATTTCAAAGGGAGTGCTTCCAGTTTTTGCCCATTCAGTGTGCTATTGTCTGTGGGTTTGTTGTAAAGAGCTTTTATTAGTTTGAGATATGTTCCGTCAATACTTAGTTTATTGAGAGTTTTTAGCACAAAGGGCTATTGAATTTGGTCAAAGGCCTTCTCTGCATCTATTGAGATAATCATGTGGTTTTTGTCTTTGGTTCGTTTATGTGTGTGTGTGTTTTTTTTTTTTTTTTTTTTTTTTTTTTTTTTGAGATGGAGTCTCACACTGTTGCCTAGGCTGAAGGGCAATGGTGCAATCTTGGTTCACTGCAACCTTCGCCTTCTAGGTTCACGTAATAATTCTCCTGCCTCAGCCTCCTGAATAGCTGGGGTTACAAGCGCAAACCACCACACCCGGCTAATTTTTTATATTTTTAGCAGAGACATGGTTTCACTATGTTGCCCAGACTGGTCTCAAACTCCTGACCTTGTGATCTGCCCACCTCGGCCTCCCAAAGTGCTGTATTACAGGCGTGAACCACTGCGCCCAGCCAATAAAGTCTAACATCTATTGAGTGTTATCTACTAAGTGCTTTACATAAATTCTCTTTTAGTTTTTGCTAGCCACTTTATAAGACAGGCATTATTAATCTCATTATTTTATAGATGAGGAAAGTGAGGCACAGAGCTATCACTTGCCAATGTCAGGCAAGTAATAAGGGGCAAAGATCCAGATGTTTTGACCCCAGTGTGTACTCTCTCTCTCTCTCTCTTTTGAGACAGGAGTTTCACTCTTGACACCCAGGCTGGAATGCAGTAGCATGATCTCAATTCACTGCAACCTCAGCCTCTAGGGTTCAAGCAATTCTCCTACCTCAGCATCCCTCCCAAATAGCTGAAATTACAGGAGCTTGCCACCATACCCGGCCATTTTTTATATTTTTAGTAGAGATTGGATTTTATCACATTGGTCAGGCTAGTCTTGAACTCCTGGCCTCAGGTGATCTACCCAACTCGGCCTGCCAGAATGTTAAGCAATAACCACTACACCACACAGTGTCAGAAAGGTATGTTGTACTGGGGAAAATGCATTGATAACCAAAAGTCTCAATACTAGCTTATGATTCTGGTATCAACTAAATCTGTGACCTAATCCTAGCTGACTCACAATGTTTTGGGGTTCCAGCTTTCTCATCTATAAAATCTTTAACTTGCAGATGAAGAGTTCCGAGTATGTGCAGTGTTTAAAGATTCATGTCTGGATGCAAAAGGAAGACACAGTCCAGAGATGCAATCTAGAGAACTGCTAGAAGTATGAGAGTACTAATCTTCTCTTTGTAAAGGGATATGCCATGATATTTTCATGACCCTGTTAAGACTGATGATGTAATTCTTCCTCTATATAGCTCATGAAAAAAACTAGGGAGTCCTCAGTGGTACTTCGCTTTTCTTAGGAAGTGTCTTGCCAGTTTCTCTTACAGTGTTTTTGGTAAGCCCATTTGTTTTGAAATTGAATTTATAAACACATACTTGTGTTGGGCTGAAGTATGTACGGCTTTAGCATTAACTTTACTTGAATACATGAACCTTTATGGCTATGTGGATTTTTCAGGAAGATAAAAACAATGAGCCAAATTTCAAGAACTGAAAATCCTAACTCTGACTAATGCATCCTGAAACTCTTGTACCTCAATTTTGGGACGGTCTTTCCAGCAATGCAAATCTTTTTTTTTTTTTTTTTTGAGACGGAGTTTCACTCATGTTACCCAGGCTGGAGTGCAATGGCGTGATCTCGGCTCACCGCAACCTCCGCCTCCTGGGTTCAGGCAATTCTCCTGCCTCAGCCTCCTGAGTAGCTGGGATTACAGGCACACACCACCATGCCCAGCTAATTTTTTGTATTTTTAGTAGAGACGGGGTTTCACCATGTTGACCAGGATGGTCTCGATCTCTTGACCTCGTGATCCACCCGCCTCGGCCTCCCAATGTGCTGGGATTACAGGCTTGAGCCACTGCGCCCGGCCAGCAATGCAAATCTTAATGCAAATGCAAATGTCTAAGGTTCAAGAGCCATTATCTTGAAGAAGAATGTTAGATATGGGCCAATGTAGACCAAGAACAAAATTACATTCACAATTAGCCAACAACGAAACCTTTCCCATTTCACTCAGACTCTGAAATAACGCAACATATTTGCAAGAAAGATAAAATGCCACCTACCTCGCTTCAAGCTCCCAGAAAGTGGTATCATCAGACAGCCATGGGTTAGAAGGGTCAGGTGGCAAAAGAAACGGGTCGTATTCCAAATACTGTTCCGTGTAACTTAGTAGACTAGGGAGAAAAAGACATTTCCACGTTCTTTAGTTTTCTGACTGGGGTTGCGGCCAATCCAAAGCAAGGGAAAGAATATAAAAATGTGGGCCCAAGGGATCTTTGCTCACTTATAGAATGAAATCCAATGGCAATCTTCACATTTCAATAACTTGGATGTAACAACTTATTGTGCTTCCTGGCAGACAAATGTGGCTAAAGATACCATCCCTCCCCAGGCCTAAGCTGTAGAAATCAACATCCCTTGGTTAACACGAAGCACTATGGAAGAGGTCTGTGTGTGGAGGGCACCGCCAACAGTTAGCTCCCATCTTTGGTTATCAGTCCACCCACAGCAGAACAGATTTTAGCCAACTTAGAGAAGGGCTTAAAAGGGAAATTTTGTCAAAAGTATTTACAGGAATTATGCAAAGTAAGAACAACTGATACATTTTTAAAATGTATATACAAATTTTAAAAAGGGAGAAGGGAAAGAAGTTGGAAAGGTAGGATTTGGCAATGCCCAAAAGTGATGCATATGAATGCCATTAAGAATAGATGTCAATGACGAAAAGGAAAATATCTAAAATTTGAGTTTCATTCAAATGTTCTGAAGTCAGGCAGTAACAGAGTCAATTGTTACTGTTAAAATACGTTTACAGAGAGGCTCCAAGATGCCAAAATGTAATGAATAAATGGAAAGTTTCATGTCTTCCAGCAGGAGTGAAAAGGCTAGACTGCAGAATCATCCTCTATATCTGATTCTTGGTTGCACAAGGATTAGATGTCTGGACATTTAACACAATTATAATCATCCTGTCATTTAAACTACACCAAAAGAGTTCTTTGAAAGTTTTCTATGTGCAGAAAGGAAAACAGTATCACATTTACTTACATGATTCCAATTATTTGTCACGACTCCTGTTCCAGCAGTCCTCTTTCATTTTTAAACACTTTTAATTGTCATATGAAATTTAAAAAATTTATATAGACATCTTGAAATACTCACCTGTCAGCGACTTTTGACATTTTTAACCGATGTCTATCTAACTGTATTTGCCAGTATTTTATCTGAAAAGAGGGTTAGAGAAGCAGATACATAAGTAGTGACATTTTCACAATATTCCACTCTAAATCACGAAAGACTGGGCAATTCTGAACAAGAGTATATTCTAGGTCAGTACAATTTCAAAGCTGCTTAAAAAAATAAATGCAGAGGGCTCTTAGTTAACAAAATGAAATGTCTGAATGTGAACACAATTGATATCACTTTAGAACAGCAATGAGTTTGACCGTTCTGCCTACTTTAACAAAATGTGATTTTATTTTAAAATTGTAGAGATTTTGCTGGGCACAGTGGCTCACGCCTGTAATCCCAGCACTTTGGGAGGTCGAGGTGGGTCAATCGCTTGAGACCAGGAATTTGAGACCAGCCTGGTCAACATAGTGAGACCCCATCTGTAAAAAAATATATAGAAAAATTAGCCAGGTATAGTGGTACAGCTACTGTAGTCCCAGCTACTTTGGGGGCCGAGGCAGGAGGATCGCTTGGGCCATTGAAGCAGAGGTTGCAGCAAGCCAAGATCACACCACTGCACTCCAGCCTGGGTGGTAGAGAAAGACTGTCTCAAAAAAATAAAAAATAAAATTGTAGAGATTTTAAACAGTCGTTCATGGTGTGTATCTAAACATTCGTTCTGGATTAGTTATTACCAAATCCAGAATCATACTTCCCTCCCAATTTAGAAAATAAATGTATTTGTTACTATAATTTCAAAATAAATCCTATCTCCTAATACCAAGAAAGCATCAATGGTATGTGTTTTGAGAATAATTTTATCAGCAATTCATGACAAATACTCACATGGAATAATCACACATAGAAAACCTTAATGAAAAACTCTCTGAATGACTTTTCCTGCGATTATTATAAATATACTAGAAAAGCATATATCACACTCTTGATAAACCATATTATAATAAAATATTAGGGGAAAGGAGTCAAAATGAGAATAAAGCCCCATGACTGAACTAATCAAGAGATTTAAACTATTATTTGATTTGAGACACTGGAGTTTGCTTTGAAATATTACTTGGAGCCATCACTATGGATCAAATGCTTAAAAAAGTAGTGTATACCATGACTCCATGACTGTACATCAGTGTTGATAAGAAAAAACTTCAAGAGGTAGAGAGAAATCAGCACTGCAGAAAGCAAGAACAAGGACTCATGTGAAGAAAATGTCATACCATTGGATATGGGAAATGTGGCACTCAATGTTCCCAATCTCTTGTCCTCTTACACTTTACAACAGAGTTCTGGAGCACAAAATAACTACTGATGATGGGGTCATCTACAAATCGGCATATGTGATTTTTACAGTTGGCTAGAGGAAAAAGGATTTGGGTAAATAAAGAGAGAGGGGTTCTGAAAACCATTACCATGTGTTGATACATTTTCAAGTAATTATAATTCTTAAAATTAGAAAGTTTTATTATTTTTTAATTGCAAATCTTCCATATGAAACAGTCAATCATACAAATCACCTTAAAAATACCCACTGTTAACAGTGACCGTCTGGTCTTCACAGCCATTACTCTGTAAACCTTTAACGGGCCACCTCATCGGCTGACTCACCTGTTGCTGTAACTCATCTTCTGTTGGAGGTTTAGTCTCTGGTGTGGGTGTGTGGGTAGGGCTGTGGCTTCTAATATCATTTTGTAAACCATAGACAGACTATATTAAAATAAAAAAATAAACATTTTAGGACAAAATACCATTTATAGTCACATATTTTCTAAAAAGCAACTCTGTATCATAAATTCAGTGAGGTCACTCAAAAATTAGTTGATTAAGCTTATCAAAAATCAAAAGGCATTGCTATGATAAATATCATATGCATATAAAATACAAGCACAGCTCTGAAAAAATATATAGATTACTAACTTTGACAGAATAATTGATTATACATAGAGAACGGGGGAGTGTGATAAAATTTGAGAGCAGGCTGGGAATACTAAGTTGGAGAATGCCAACATTAACTAACATTTCATAAGCATTAAGAAAATATAGAGGTAGATATAAAATAGAATAGAAATGTGATAACCCAAGAGGGGATTGAAAAATAACTTGATTTTTTTTTTACACAGGAATTAAATGAGAGTACTGAGAATGACAAGTCAAGAATTCTATTGCTGATTTGATTTCTGAAGGTGCAATAGAAGACATCAGGGTATTCCTACTCTCCATATCAACAGTGGGTTATTTCCTTCACAATACTGACCTTGCCATTGGGTGCCTTTGTAAACACCAGTGACCCCAGAGGCTTCAGGCATCTTTGGAATTCCCTTGTACTTTTTTATGAACTTGTCAAAAGGTCAGACTTACTACTTAGGAAGACTTTTTTTTGAGAAAGGCCCATTGCTTAGTAAGTATAAATAAAGATCTGGTGTCTAAAGGGATAAAAAACTATTTGTAACTCAGAGTGAGACATCTCACATGTCAACTCAAGGAAGAGGCCAAAATATTTTTTCTTGAATATCAAAGTATTCTTCCTTTAAAATAAAGAATTTAATGTGTGTTATTGAGCACTTTTTTTTGGACATGAGCAAGAAAGATGAGGGCATAAGAAAACTGCATGAACTCCACAAAATTGGTTACCAGATGAGGTTTGCAAAGACAGTTTGAAATTAAATGAGGTTAGATCCAGATGCCTAATGATGCCCATGTTCAGGCCGGTCACCAAGCTTGCCAGTATCACTAAATTCCATGTATTTTCTTCCTGATCTGTCTTCACTAGGCCCTTATGTCCACTTAACAGTGCCTCTCCGCCCTGTGTCTGCACCTTTTGGAATCGGCCTTGCCCTTGTGTCTCACCTGCTCTGTCCTTTTTTTTCGTTTCCTTTTTTGTTTGGTGTTCTTATCCTTTCTTTAACAGATTTTCACTTGGGTTTAATCATTGGGATTGTCTATTCCCAGACGATCTTGGGTAGGTCTCTTTGATGCCCTTCTCTTGCCCTAGCCCCAGACCCTTGGAACCCAATTCCCATCACTGAGGACATCCACTTCTTTCTTATTTATTTATTTAATAATGCAAAACAGGAGGCAGTAAATGGCCATCCATTTCAACACAAGGAGTTGCTCACATGCTTTGAATTTACTCTGAACAGGACAGAGCTTAAACCAGCTCTTTTATTTCATCCATTTATTCACTCACTCATTCATTCAACATTTATTGAACACTTACTATATGCTGGTTATAGTACTAAGATTAGGAAAATAGAAATAAACAAAACAAATGTGCTTCTTTCTCCACTGGAACTCACAACCCAGTGGAAAGGAAAGAAGTCACACAGGCAATCACACAAATAAACACATGACTGAAAACGTGGTAAGTACTATGAACAGAAAACAGCAACAAGCACAGGGCCTGGAATATAAAGTGATTTAATTTACACTGAAGGAATGGAAATGGCCCAAACTGATACTAGCCATATTCGAACATGATTAAATAACATAACCTTCTGAATGCTGAAGTAACAGTAGAGGTTGATTTTGTAAAAATTTTGTGCCATATATATGAAATGGAACACTCTTCAGCCTTTATAGAACAAGAAATTCTGTCATTTGCAATAACATGGATGAACCTACAGGACATTATGTTTAGTTAAATAAGCTAGGCAGAGAGGTCTTTATCATAGGATTGCACTTATATGTGGAATATAAAAAAGCCGAAGTCATATAAGCAGACAATAGAGTGATAGTTACCAGAAGTGGGGATGGGGTGGGGAAGAGAAAGGTCTTGGTCAATGGGTGCAAAGTTAGATAGAAGGAATAAGCCTTGGTGTTGTATTGGACAGCCAAGTCACTATTGTTAATAATGATGTATTTCATATTTCAAAGTAGCTCACAGAGAGGATTTTAAGTGTTCTTGCCACAAAAAGGATAAATATTTGAGGTGATGAATATGTTAATTACTCTGATTGGTTCATTCCATGGTATATATGTTTATTGAATATTACCCATAAGTATGTGCAATTATTATTTGTCAATTAAAATTAGGCCACAGAAGATCACCAATTATATGACGGTTCTACTTTTCAGTGTCTGCTAGTTTTTCAATTGTATCACCTTAATTTTTGAAAAGAAAAATAAAAAGACTCTGAGACTTGAAGTTTCTATTCTGTTTTCAAGTTGGTTTAATTTTTTAAAGTTTTTAAATCATAATCTATAGGTCCTGTAAACAGTGCTTATGAAAAATGGCTAATGGTTTTAACAGCAAATTTTTGGGCTAAGATAAAAAAAAATAATTAAAAGACTGCTAGAAAAACACAGCAATTTGTGATATCATGAAAGTGAAATGATCCATAAGTTGTCTTTTATCTCTACATTTCTATAATGATTTCAACATTTATGCATTTCCTGTAAACTTCATAAAGGTCCCAGAAGAGACCATAACCCAAACCATTGGGAGGTGTTGCTTAAAACAGTCTTCCAGGTGCCTGGCTACTGGCTCTGAAGTTACTGCAGATGGAGAAATGGAGTAATGAAGATACTCCATTTCTTGTCTTACATAAAAGTCAGGCTGGGTGCTGTGGCTCACGCCTATAATCCCAGCACTTTGGCAGGCCAAGGCGGGCGGATCACCTAAGGTCGGGAGTTTGAGACTAGCCTGACCAACATGGTGAAACCCCATCTCTGCTAAAAATACAAAATTATCTGGACATACTGGCACATGCCTGTAATCCCAGCTACTCAGGAGGCTGAGGCAGGAGAATCGCTTGAATCCGGGAGGCAGAGGTTGCTGTAAGCCAAGATCGCGGCATTGCACTCCAGCCTGGACAACAAGAGTGAAATTCCATCTCAAAAAAAAAAAAAAGTCAACATCAGGACTCTGGCTTTTACCAATCTCAGCACTGTTCATTTCCTGGGGACAGTGATAGCTTCTAACTTTAATCCTTGGCTACAATGAAAACAGCTGAGAATATAATTTTATATATAGGGCTTATTTTGTGGACAAAGGAGGCCAAGAGATTAATCCTATTTTGGCAGGCAAGTTGTGAAAGTTATTTGCAATGTAAAAGGCTTTGCATGTTTTAGAAAACAAAATGTATTCAAATAGTGGTCCAGGGTGGGGTGGCATAGAGCTAGAAGCAGGTCGGGTTAGAGAGGAAGATAAATAAAATCTCTTTAATGTCTTAATGTTTGCAGTTGGAGGAAAATCAAATTAATTGATATCCATTTTTAGTTTTAATAGCAAAATCATTTATTTGCAGTGCTTTGGCTTGTATAAGACATTCTTTACTCCCTGCAGTGTTAAGCACTTTTTCATATACAGTGCCATCTATTTATTCATTAAATAAAATCGATTTGGCTTGCTATGTAAATCCATTCACATGTGAGTTCCCTTGACATTTTAGAAGAAAGCTAATCTCCCCTGCTTTTTTACTTTTATTTTTTAGGTTGGGGGTGGTGGGGTTTTGCTATGGTCTGAATATTTGTGTCTCTCCAAAATTCATATGTTGAAATCCTAAACCCCTAATGTGATGGTATTAAAGGGTGAGGACTTTGGGAGGTTACTAGGTATGAGGGTGAAGCCCTTGTGAATGGGATTAGTGCCCTTATAAAGAGGCCTGAGGGAGCTCATTTGCTCCTTCTACCATGTGAGGACACCGTGAGAAGGTACCATCTTTGAAGTACTGAGTGAGCTCGCAACAGATGTGAAATCTACTGGTGCCTTGTTCTTGGACTTCTCAGACTCCAGAACTGTGAGCAATACATTTCTGTTGTTTATAAATTACCCAGTCTAAGATATTTTATCACAGCAACTCAAACAGACCAAGAACCAAGACAGGGATTGTAAAATAGAAACCACAAAGTGCCGGACGCCTTTCTGTCTTTCTATGTGAAGTGTAATCTCCGGGACTTTTCTAACTGGCTGGCATGCTAATATTTCTCTTTCCTTCAAGGTTGCTCAGCTGAGCTAGAGAGCAGATTGTTACCATATCTGACACAATACGGACAAAGTCAATACAGAGAAACAAGCAGAGAGAAAGCGAACAGAAAGACAGTGTGAAAGAGCTAGCTTCAGTCACACTCCTGGGCCAGCTCGACCCCTGCCTGCCACGAGGTTTCAGATCATGAATCAGAAAAGTCCCTTCTTGGCTGGGTGTGGTGGCTTGCGCCTGTAATCCCAGCACTTAGAGAAGCTGAGGCGGGTGGATCACCTGAGGTCAGGAGTTCGAGACGAGTCTGGCCAACACAGTGAAACCCCGTCCCTACTAAAAATACAAAATCAGCTGGGTGTGATGGCACATCCCTGTAGTCCCAGCTACTCAGGAGGCTGAGGCAGCAGAATCACTTGAACCCGGGAGGTGGAGGCTGCAGTGAGCTGACATCCTGCCACTGCACTCCAGCCTGGGCAAGACAGAGTGAGACCCCATCTTAAAAAAAAAAAAAAAAAGTTATCTATTTGTTCATTATCATTTGAGGAGTTTCTATTGCCTGAACCTTTACTGTACACCTAACTTGACATACTTTTTCAATGCTCTAAGACATGAGTAGTTTATTTTGTTCAGTAACACATTAAAATCTAAATGTACACATGCAGTGTATGGAGGTGAGGACATGTCCATATTTTATGCAGAAACAGCTATAACCACTGGAGTATTAACAACAGGAAAACTGACAGCTAATGATACATTTGCTCTTATTCTTCTAGGATATGCATATTGGCT